CTAACTACTACTGCTACTACTACTACTACTAACTACTCTACTACTACTACTACTACTACTACTACTACTACTACTAAACTACGAACTACTACTACTAACTAACTACTACTACTACTACTACTACGACTACGACTACGACTACGACTACGACTACTACTACTACTACTACTACTACTACTACTACTACTACTACTACTACTACTACTACTACTACTACTACTACTACTACTACTACTACTACTACTACTACTACTACTACTACTACTACTACTACTACTACTACTACTACTACTACTACTGCTACTGCTACTGCTACTACTACTACTACTACTACTACTACTGCTACTACTACTTATTTGTCCCAGGCCCTTTCCAGCCCTGGTCGTCTGCACCAGCCCTAACGGTATCTACTCGCAGATACGTATATGTCCCGATATTGCAGCTTCCTCTGTTTTTCCGTTTCGCTGCAGCAGGTAGCGGATGGAGGCGTAGTCAGGGGGGGAAAGTGAGGAGGGAGTAGGTGGAAGGGGGTAGGAAGGAAGGGGGAGTGAGGAGGAAGGAGCGATGAGAGAGGAGTGTGCCGAGGGCCGCCGTCGTTGCTGGTGGGTTCTCATCGCCACGGCTGGACCTGACTCGTTCGGGCTTGGGCCTCGGCGTGGCGGTGTCCTGTGTGTTGGCGTCGCCTGTCGGTCGCGCTTTCTTGTAATCCCCTTCCGTCCCCATACATGGGCTACAGATGTCACTTCCCTTCTCTTCCCGAAACATGGGCTGTATATTCTCCTTGCCCTGGTTTGATTGATAGGAGGGATGAACGAGGAGGACGAGAAGGAGGCTGCCCCCTATTCGAGGAGTTGGAGGAGGGTTAGCGATGACAGGGGAAGCAGGCACAAATCAGAAGTCGCCCTCCTAGCAGGTTCCCCCTGGGCACGTCTGCAGATGTACCACTCCGAGCACTTGCGCATCTTCACATTAGGCACCAATTCTGATCTAGGGAAACATCATGCATATGTTCGAGGCGCTCTAGAAAAAGGGTTTCGCCTTCGACGCGCGGTGGAAGCCGGCGGAAGTTTCGGTGGCGGCGTGCCCTTGGCGTAGGGCGGCGGAAGTAGAAATGATACATCAACATGGTTGGATCCAGGATTGCTGAAGTTCGCCCTTTGCCGCTGTGCCTTTGCTGCCGTTTTTGCCAACGTGTGGAAAAGTTGTCCCCAGATGCTTGATCTTGATCTTGCGGCCTGGTCTGGGCTGCGCGCCTGCAGCGTCGAGCGCTGACTTCGGCCACCTGTCCCTCGCACCCGTCGTGCAAACGCTGGGGCATTTTGTGGTCCTGGGCTGGTCCTTCCGAGTCGCCTTGCTCGCCCTGCGGAGCAGTCCCGTGCCAGTCCTACGCCTGTCCCGTGCCAGCCTGGCCAGGCCACAGTTCTGGACAGAGTGGTCCTGGGCACTTGCCGATCCTGCGGTGTGCGAGCGTGGCGGCGACCGTGGCGGCGCGGACGGCGGCGGCAGGCGCGCTCGTCGCCGCGTGTGCGGCGCGTCTCGAGGTGGAGCTGTTCGGCCTGCTCAACTTCTACCAGAACTACGAGTACATTTACAACAGGATCGACAAGGCCAGCCCGGGGAGGGGGGAGGCGCCGCGCACGTGTGTCCAGGCCTCCCACATGAGGTCCGAGCAGATGAGGTCGGAGGAACGGCTGCATCGCCGATGCATCGGCGATGCGGCTCGATGAGGAGCCCTATTTTCTCCTTGTCGACGTGGCTGGTGACGTCGCCGACATATTATATTGTCAATGCATCGGCAATGCATCGCCGATGCGGCGCGATCCTCCGACCTTACTCTGACCCCATTTGGGAGGCATGTAGTGTGTGTTACCCTGCATGCGAGCAAGGCGGCATTGACCTGAAAGTCTGTATACGTATCCAGATGCGCTGCCGCGCATGTCTGCCACTGCGTCTGCGGGAGCTGCAGGGCAGCATTGTGGCACGCACAGCTTCCGAGTTGCATTGCTGTTGCGTTGCCTCTGGCGGCTTTGCGGGTGGCTCCGGGAGGCATGCCAGGGGCCACTCGAGGGTGTCGTCCGGGGGTATGGGGGCCATTTGGGAGGGCAGTTTTTTGCTCGTTTCGTCAAGTCTGGGGAGGGGGGAGCTCCGAGGCCAGGTGATCGGCAACTTCGGAGCGAGCAGCAGATGCGGGCAGGGCCGTGTGTCACAAAGCGGGCTCCGAGGATGCAAAGGAGGAGGAGGAGGAGGAGGAGGAGGACAAGGACGAGGACGAGGAGGAGGAGGAGGAGGACGAGGAGGAGGAGGAGAGGAGGAGGAGAGGGGAGAGGAGAGGAGGAGGAGGATCAGGAGGAGACGAGGAGGGAGGAGGAGGAGGAGGAGGAGGAGGAGGGAGGAGGAGGGGTTGGGGGAGGAGGACGAGGACGAGGAGGAGGAGGAGGAGGAGGAGGAGGGGTTGGAGGAGGAGGAGGAGGAGGAGGAGGAGGAGGAGAGGGAGGAGGAG